CTTCATTCATCTTCCCATGGGGACTCAGACTCATTACCAAACCTTAGATCAAGTGCCTTGAAGACGTGGTGTTGTGCTGGGTTAAGAGGTTGGCTGATGGGACACACTATATCTCTGTACCATGCCACACAAAAAAGAGAAACCACCAATGGCTGTCCGACTATTTCTGCGACAAAATCACCCACTTACATCTGGCCACCTAACTCCCCAGACTAACTCAGCTTGATTATTATGTGTGGGGCGCAGTTGAGCGAGAAACCATAAAAAATTCTTGTTAACACCAAAGATAACCTGAATACAAGGATTATGGAACCATTCGCCAACTTAAACAAACGGACTGTCCAGAAGAGATGCAGGAGTTTCCAAAGTCGTCTGGAGACCATGGTTGAAGGAAATGGTGATTATATTGAGTAAATTTACTCTTTAATATTTCATGATATTTTCCGTAATTTTGGTTAAAATATATGTTAAAATGAAATGTCATTGTTATTTTCATTTTTATGCAATTTAGACGACAATTTATTCATTGTACCCAGTATATATGAACATAGATAGATAAAGAAAATGAATGAAATAGATAGAATAGATAGATAGATAGATAGATAGATAGATAGATAGATAGATAGAATGAATGAATGAGAATGATAGATAGATAGATAGATAGATAGATAGATAGATAGATAGATAGATAGATAGATAGATAGATAGATAGATGGAATGAGAATGGGATAGATAGATATTGATATTGAGTAAATTTACTCTTTAATATTTCATGATATTTTCCGTAATTTTGGTTAAAATATATGTTAAAATGAAATGTCATTGTTATTTTCATTTTTATGCAATTTAGACGACAATTTATTCATTGTACCCGAGTATATATGTACATAGATAGATAAAGAAATTGGTGAATGAAATAGATAGATAGATAGATAGATAGATAGATAGATAGATAGATAGATAGATAGATGAGATAGATAGAATGAGAATAGGATAGATAGATAGATAGATGAATAGATAGATAGATAGATGAATTGATAATAGGATAGATAGATAGATAGATAGATAGATAGATAGATAGATAGATAGATGATAATGATAGATGGGATAGATAGATAGATAGATAGATAGATAGATGAATGAATAGATGGATAGATGAATGATGGAATGATGAATGGGATAGATAGATAGATAGATAGATAGATAGATAGATAGATGGATTGAAAATGGGATAGATAGATAGATAGATAGATGAATGAATAGATAGATAGATAGAATGAGAATGGGATAGATAGATAGATAGATAGATAGATAGATAGATAGATAGAATGAGAATGGGATAGATAGATAGATAGATAGATAGATAGATAGATAGATAGATAGATAGATAGATAGAATGAGAATGGTATAGATAGATAGATAGATAGATAGATAGATAGATAGATAGATAGATAGATAGAATGAAAATGGGATAGATAGATAGATAGATAGATAGATGAATGAATGGATAGATAGATAGATAATGGATAGATAGAATGAGATATTAGATAGATAGATAGATAGATAGATAGATAGATAGATAGATGTACAAAAACATTCAAAAAGAGAACAGTTTTGTTTATCTAAATGTGTAAATATATTCAAATGTCATTCTTTGTTCTGTGTTTATATCTTCTTAATAGGTCCAAAGTACTATAAGTTGTTGATTCGAATTATAGTTAAATAGCTTAGATAATAATATACACACAAAAAAAAAAAAAAATGCGATAAAATAGGTAATCTTGATTACAGTAGAAGTAATAAAACTAAATGTCTATAATGGTATATACTCCGTATTTTGCACACTCGTCGCCGGTCCTATCCGATCATTACACAGCACCTGGGGCGTCCTGCAAATGTGGGAGTACTGAGCCTACTCGAGCAATTTTTGCACGGCTTTATGAGACCCAAATATGAAACTCCGATTTTGCGTGACATCCTTCTACGACTTGGGTGGGTAGATAAATATATCTATATATTAATGATACATCCCGGCCTGTTCAGTTCTAAGTAAGGGGAGGATTTGCTGGTTGGTTGATTTTGTTTAGCGGCATGTCAAAATCTGTGGATTATTTAATGCAGAAATTTAACTATTTTGTAGGCAATTCTATTTTTTCTTTGGAAATAATTATTATGATTTAAGAGATACAAGTCTTACTAATTAACCCATAGAAGAGGTGGATTCATATCTTTACCAAGGATATTAGCGTAAGTGAATATAACAAATCCGACTGGAATTGGAACTTCGATTAAAAATGTTTAGCCTTTATACATCACACCAGCCGCACATCCAAGTTTAGAGCACCTGTTATTCCCAAGCGGTTACCCATTTAGGTATTGGTCATGCTCACCGTTGCTTAACTTCGGTCCTCGTACGGGAACAGGTGTTTCAACATGCTTTTTAGGCAAACAAAATTCCGCTTTCACGAATATGCAAAAGAGAATACACGCCTATAAAATAACAACACCTAAGAAAATTTACCCGCGTTATATACAAAGGGCAACCAATATGCATTTATTTAGGCCTTTATGAGATAGTACCTCATTTTATTAAGTCTTTCAATTTGTGTAGATTCACTGATTCGCTTTTTATAGCTTATCCGCATTTAGTAGGATATTTCAATTCAGAAAATACTTTTAGATTGTAAGAAATTCTTTTTTTTTTTTTTTAGAAATCGTTTAGTAATAGAAGGCTTATTAATTAATCCACAGCCGGGGGTAAACTATACCATTCTAAGTGGTGTGTAACTGCTTTCATTTAATCACCGCAGGGAGGCTCTTCTGCCTGCTATCAACATGGCTAATGCTAAACTCTAGGAAAGCAACACTCTACGCTATCTTGGCTTCACGTTTTCCACTAAAAAAGTTGTGACGTGCCAGAAAATTTTTCTCTTTAGAATCAATATTGCGCGTTTATAAATCTACCATTCGTCCATGCATTGAATACTTTAGCCGTATCTGGTCTGGTTCTCCTGTTATACATCTAGAAATCCTTGAAAAAATCCAGAGAAGGGTCTGTAATATAATCAATCCTGACCTGACGATCTCGACTTCAGTCACTTTCTCACCGACATGACGTGGCTTCCCTCTGTCTTTTCTACAAATGTTTTCATGGTAACTCTTCTGATGAGCTTTTTGTCTCTGTTACCCTGACTGCATGAATTTAAGCTTGATACTTGATTGGCAATTAGGTCTCATCGTTTGACTGTTAAACTAGCTAAATGAAACCGCTACTTCTATTCTGAAAGTTTTTTCTCGCACCTCCCACGCGCTGAATTCCATTCATTTTTCATGCTTCTCTGAAAACTAAAATCTTCAAAAATTTAAATGCAACGTCAATCGTCATCTTCGGTTCTCTAGATCCCTGTTCATTTTAGTCCTTTCATCAATCCTCCCTATTCTCAGTTTCCTCTTTCACTTTCACTTTCACTCCTTACGTACTAGTAAGATTATCGGCTTGCTTAGGGTGAAACCATGAAAAAAAGAAAGTGGATATAACGAACCCAAATGGAACGAGAACTTGGCTTTCGAATTAACAATTCCGAGCCATTGTCCATTGCATCACCTACACATCAAAGCTTATAGCACCTGGTATTCCCAAGTAGTCACCCAGCTCGGTACTAAACATGCAAGTCGTAGCTTATCCCCGGTGATCGTACAGGAACCTCAACAAGTGTTGAGTATGTAATAAACTTGATGTAGTTAAAGAACAGCCCTTTTAGAATTGCGTCCTGGGTAAGACGATAAACTACATCCGCGTCCTAGGTAAGACGTTAAACTACATCCGCGTCCTGGGTAAGACGATAAACTGCATCCGCGTCCTGGGTAAGACGATAAGCTACATCCGCTTCCTGGGTAAGATTATAAACTACATCCGCGTCCTAGTAAGACGTTAAACTACATCCACGTCTCGTGTAAAACAATAAACTACATCCGCATTCTGGGTAAGACGATAAACTACATCCACATCCTGGGTAAGACGATAAACTACATCCGCGTCCTGGGTAAGACGATAAACTACATCCGCATCCTGGGTAAGACGATAAACTACGCCCAGCAGCAAGGCCTCTGAGGTTTTGAGGAGCGTGGAACCACCTCTTAATTGCTGCTGTTCCCAGGTTCACCCAGGGGTGGTAGCACATGTTAGGGCCCCAGATATGGGCAAATAGTTCAGTCCCAAACTGGGGTCAAAAACACTATGAAAGTGTAAAAATACATTTTAATACCAATAATAAATTTTGGGAAAAAATATTTCCAGCAATAGATCTTTGAAAAAATACCGACATTATATTTTTGATGAAAAAATTATTAACAGTAATATCAGCAGTACATTTTTGAAAAAAAGAAAAATATTACCAGAAACACATTTTGTAACAAAATATTACCAACAATAAAAATCTTGTCGCCATTAAATAACCCATTGAGTTTGATATGCCGTAAAACAAAACAAATCAAACCAAACCTTTTCGAATAATCTCAGAATAAATATTTTGACGACAAAATGTTCAAGTCTGGTTGAACCAGCAAATGTCCAGTGACGTTTCATCTAGATTTTGTCTAGTTTTTTGGGGTTTTTTTTTTTTTTGCTTTTTTTATTGAATGAGTCCGAATCATGTGATATAAAATAATCAGCTTTATGTTTGGCTATATGGCGGCCTCATATATTTGCCGTCAGTCATTTTCATTTTCATTCTTTGTTTTTTAAGGACTCTTGATGGCCCAGACATTTTTTTTCCCGAGTGGAAATCTTTCTGATGTATTGATATGCCTTGTAGAATTAGACCAGTTTGCCTGCCAGCATACTTTTCTTAGTCACCACTAGTATTAAGTATATTAAATATTAGTAGAAAGTGAGAATTTATCTTCCTTCCTATTATACTGATGAGAAGGAAGATAAATTCTCGCTTTTTGCTTTCCTGAACAATAGAATGTGATAGTGACAAGACGTATCGTATCTCCATCGAAGAAAGTCACTCCGCGGTACGAAACGGCGTTTAATCTCACTCGAGATACATCAAACGCACGTACACACACACGTACACAGAGAGACACACAAACACACATACACAAACACACAAACACACACACAGAGGGTGGAGCAATAGCAGATATAAACAGAGCTGACATGGTCTGATGATTGGTTAGCGTAATGATCTCTTCAGGTTTACATCACAATGCAGTGTTGAATTCTGTGTCACATTATCTATCTATCTATCTATCTATCTATCTATCTATCTATCTATCTATCTAGCTCTCTCACTGACTATATATATATATATATATATATATATATATATATATATATATATATATATATATGTTTTTTTTTTCTATCTGTCCATCTCTTATAGTCTATTCATATCTGTTACGGTCTATGCATATTTATCTATCTATCTATCTATCTATCTATCTATCTATCTATCTATCTATCTATCAGTTATTTGAAACTTCTTATACTTATAGAAGATGATTGCTCAATATTGCATATAGAGATTGAAACTCGTTCTTCAATTGCGATGATGCGTGAAAGGCACATCATAATGCAGGGTTGATAATATATATATATATATATATATATATATATATATATATATATATATATATATGGGTTGGAGGGTACTTACGTACGAACGAGTGGGTTAGCTGAATGTTTTTCAGCCTGACTCACTTCTCTAGGTTTGACCAATCTAAGGTCATTCCCGTACCTCCCACAGACACAAAAGACGCATACATCTATATACCTATATATATATATATATATATATATATATATATATATATATATATATATATATATATATATATACGAATTACATACGAACGAGTGGATTAGCTGCATGTTTTTCAGCTTGACTCACTTCTCTCGGTTTGACCAATCTAAGGTCATTCCGTACCTCATACAGACACATACACACACACACATATCTATCTCTCTCTCTTTCTTTCTCTCTCTATATATATATATATATATATATATATATATATATATATATATATATATATATATATATATATATATATATATATATATAAGAGAGGGTGGTGAAAAGTTCTAATTCCGACCAAGAATGTTTTCCAACCAAAAGGTTTTGTAATTTTGCATCTTAGAGTCGATCTCTGTAGACAATTACACAAATATTCGGGTTATCAAAGAGGCCCTCCAGAAAGAATAATGTAAACTACTTTTTTTGTGTCCTTGTAAAATCCGGTATTCCCTAATGATTTAAATATCTATTATTTGTGATCTGGACTGTTCACATACAGTGGATTGGCATGTTGGTTATTTGAGAACTTTATTTCTGTCTACAGTTCACTAAACTCACCCCCACCCCCCTAACCACCACTGTTAAAAAAAAAAAAGCTGTTGGCCCACATTCCCGTTCGACAGAGGAGGGAAGGACTGCAGCTGGGGTTAAGTGGAATGCGGAGGGAGTGTTGCATGCTCAGAAACAAGAATGAAAATGTTTGAGGTGGAGAATCAGAATGAGAGAGAGAGAGAGAGAGTGTTGGAGAGAGAGAGAAAGAGAGGGGGGTAAATCGAAAAAGAATTCAAAGTGAAAACAGAAATGAAAGAAGTGAAATGTTGTAGGTGTGAGATGAATGAGTGTGAATGAGTGTGAAGGTGATCGGATGCAAGAAATTGCATAAGGAAAAATGACGTTACAGAAAGAAGAACTGAAAGAAAGAAAGAAAGAAAGAAAGTAGAGAGGAGAGAAGGAAACAAAAGGAAGCGACGATTTAAAGGAAGAAATGAAAGGGCGTCAGCAGACGAGAAGAAAGAGGAAGAGAAAAAAAAGGAGGAAAAAAATAACAGAAAGAGAGTGAAAAAGGAAAAAAAAAATTAAAAGAGAAACAGAGAGAAAGAGACCAAGAAGGAAATGGGGAGAGAACGGGAGAAAAGAAAAAAGAGAAGAGAAGTAAAAAGGGGAAAAAAGAGAAGAGGAGAAAAAGAAAAGGAAAAAGAAAACGTAAATCATGTGAGTAAAAGGAAATATTTTAATCCTTAAAATAGAACGTGAAGATATAGGATTTCTTGAAAGAAAGAAAGAAAGAAAGAAAAGAAAGAAAGAAAGAAAGAAAGAAAGAAAGAAAGAAAGAAATTAAAAAAGACGAAAGAAGGACTAAAGAAAGAAAACAAAAATGAAAGGCAGTAGCACGAGACAAGAAAAAGAAGAAAGAAAAACAAAGAAAGCGAAAAGAAGAAAGACGAAAGAAATAACAGAAGAAAGAAAGAAAGAAAGAAAGAAAGAAAGTAAGAACGATAAAGAAAGAAAGATGCACAACAGAAACAAGAAAGAAAATGATGAAATCAGTACAAAAGAAAGAAAGAAAGAAAGAAAGAAAGAAAAAGAAAAAATGAAAGAAAAAAGAATGAATGAAAACAAAGAAAATGAAAGGAAGTAGTATGGAAGAAATAAGGGAGGAAAAAAGAAAGAAGACCAAAGAAAAATGAATAAAAGAAAGAAAGAAAGAAAGAAAGAAAGAAAGAAAAGAAAGAAGAAGAAAAAAGATAGACGCAAAAGAGAGAAACCAATAAAGGAAAATATGTCGAAAGTTCATGTGAATCAGACAATAAAATATTCTTTTTTTCTTTCTTTAATTAAACTGCGTTTCACCCTATAAGAACATGGTGGAAATCTTACTGACCATTCCAAACCTGAATCGTCACTGGACAATTGCTGGTTCAACCAGACTTGAAAACAGAGTGGCATAGCGAGGGGCTGAGGTCGAGTCGATAAATGACGGTAAGAGTGGTTGATGGACGGTCGACAGTGACCAGGCAGGGCTGGTCGTCCAACCGGATTTTGTAAAATGTTTTCGAAAGGGGGTGGTGCAATGTTGGGTGCACGTCAGTCGTAGATTCTTGATTGTAGTCGAGAAGCCATGTTTTTTTTCCTCCCTGCGCTTGCAGTAAGTACCCAGATAGAAAAGGCTGGATACGTTTCTTGAGCACTTGCCAAGAAATCAAGCCATCAGAAAACAGCTATCAGTACTGTCTTGTTAACCACTTTTCTTGTATGTGCTGTGTCCCATCAGGACGTAGGCGATCATGGCTCTCCACTTCTCCCTATTCCTTGTAGCTCTCAGTAAGTTTTGTCCCTTTGCTAATCCCCCCAGACCATGTTCTTCTATTCACTTGCTTAACCTGCTTCGTATATCACGCATTGCTTTCCGTTGTCTCTCTTTTACCCTCTATTCGACCTGTGTGTATCAGATTCTCTAAGCCCTCCTTTCTCATTACGTGTCCCAGAAATTCCAGCTGCTTCTTTCTGGGGTTAAGTATAAGCTTCCTCCTTGTTTGCATCCTCGACAAAAAATCATCATTGCTCACACGCTTGATACATGATATCCTTAGCATCCTTCTGTAGAACCGTATCTCCGTTGCCTTGAGTTTCTTCTTCATCTTTGAGGAGACCGTCCAACATTCGCTGCCCTAAAAGAGGACATATGTCACGTAGCAGATTAGTACTGTTTTCTTTGTTACCAAAGATGTTAAGTATAAGTTTACTTCTTGCTTGCATCTTCCCCGAAACCTCATCATTATTCACACGCTCGTCCCATGATATCCTTAGCATCATTCTGTAAAACCACTTCTCCGCTGCCTCGAGTCTCTTCTTCATCTCGCTGCCGTAATGGAGGGCAGGTATTACGTAGCATTTCAGAACTCTTTTCTTTGTTACCAAAGATGTTAAATATAAGTTTCCTTCTTGTTTACATCCAATTCAAAACCTCATTTTTGCTCAAACGCTTGGTCCATTGTCTCCTTAAAATCCTTCTGTAGAACCATGCCTCCATTTGCCTTGAGTCTCTTCTTCATCTTTGAGGAGACCGTCCAACATTCGATGTCACGTAGCAGTTCAGTAATCTTTTCTTTGTTACCAAAGAAATCCTCCTGTCTCGTAAAACTCTTCCTAGCTTTTGGAATGCATCTTTGGCCATCCCAATACGTCTTCGGATCTCATCATCTCACTTACTGACTTCTGGGAAAAAAACCTTCTGAAGGGTTTAAGAGAAAGTTGGTTACTGTAGCATTTAATAGAAGTACCATCCAAAGTTACTTCGTCTTTATTTTCTTGTCCTCCCAACTCCCTAACCCAACCAATCACTGTGTTAACTAATACACTACCATAAACAACTGTTTATTTCAATATTCACTGTATACAGAAGTGTAGATACTAAGGTAGACTTCGTTGTCCCTTATAACGAATAGCAATAGGCAGTGCAGTTTGAGGGATACCCGATACCAAGGTTAATCTTAATTTACTCTTTATCTGAAATCAGTTGTATTTTGTTATTCCTATCATATTGACTGAAATGAAATCTCCACAAATATTTTTAATTGCCTATAATTGATAACGGAAGCCACTGGTTTATACCAACGGCTTCCCATACTTAATACTTCACGTTTTCACTCTCGCGTGGTCATGTGTGACGTCACGAGCTTTGAAATTTTTCATGCGACAAAAACAGACTATCATTATTGTATTGTCTGATATATTGAAATGTAATTGTCATCTTTGATAATGGCTTGTGTAAGCCGAAAACTTAGATAGGATTAAAACATATATCAATATGGTGATTTTCTTTCGTCTTTCAATGATAATGTTATTAAACTTATCAGACAATATGAAAGGAACTTACTTAAAATAAATAGACAAAACTTGTCTATATTATTTAATAAAAGTCGTTGATTCAAATAAATATATATATATATATATATATATATATATATATATATATATATATAAATTCCAGGAAATGAATTACATAGTATAAAAAAACAAATTCATATATAAAATAATATATTTTTCAAAGCCCATATATATATATTGTGTAAAAATAGTGCTTTATACTGATAATAAAACGCAGTTTTTCTATAACTGCTGCTCAGTATATATATATATATATATATATATATATATATATATATATATATTATATGTATATAAAACTATCTGAC